ACGAGGAAATTTACAGTACGGTGAAAAGCAATGGTGGCGCCATCAGGGATACCGCTACTTTGGTTTTTGCCGATTTGTATTCTATCATTCTGAATTTTGACGTATGTATGTATATGAATTAGAATGTAGGAATGTCACAGGGTGACTAACACCCCACCCCCCGTGAATCTCCCTGAGATTCACCGTTTAACATGAGTCGGGCTAGACGTGTGGCTGGACGACGCAGTACTCCTCCGCTTGTTTTAACTTCTGCCATGCGCACTTGACCATCTTTCGTCGGGAATACCTCGGTGATACGACCTCTCCGCCATTGACTGCGTGGTAGAGTGGGTTCGCAAACCAAGACTAGGTCGTTTACTCGAAGGGGAATAGCTTTCTCCTTCCACTTAGTACGGCATATAAGTTGGGGCAGGTACTCCGTCGTCCACCGTTTCCACAAGCGGTCTTTGAGGTTCTGCGCTATCCTCGATTGCTTTCGCAGGCAAAGCTTTTCGTCGACTGGGTGTGGAGTTTGTGTTGAATTCACACATCCCAGCAAGAAATGGTTCGGCGTGATAGGCTCGTCTTCTTCGTGAGATACCGGTAAGTCTGTCAGCGGCCGCGAGTTAATAATATTTTCAGCCTCTATCAACACACTTTGCAAGGTTGCTACTTTAGGCGCTGTTTCACGTAGAGTGCGGTTCAGTAGAGATTTAACAATTCGTATTAGACGCTCCCAGCAACCGCCTGCACTGGGATTGGCGGGGCAGTTGAATAGCCATTCAATATTATACTTCGCGGCTTCTTCTTGAATGCGGTCTGTATCAAATAGTTGCTCGGCGTTTTTTAACTCCTTTAGGGCGCCGATGAAATTAGTCCCATTGTCGCTTCTAATCCTTACTGGGGTCCCACGTCGATTTATGAAATTTCTTAGGCATAGAATAAATGCGTCTGTAGACAGATCCTCGGCTAGTTCGATATGCGCTGCTCTTACAGTTAAACAAGTGAAGATAACACCCCACCTCTTCTCTCGTCTCCGTCCGATTGCGACATTAAAAGGTCCAAACATGTCTACGCCTGTCTAAGAAAATGGTCGTACATAGGGTGTAACGCGGTCAGCTGGCAGCTGCCCCATCATAGGCGCGACTGGCTTTGCTTTGCTCAATCTGCATTCAAGACAGTTTCGCTGCACTCTCTTGTAGAGCGTTTTAATATGCGGAATCCAGAATTTTTGTCGTACTGTATTGATTATAACGGCGAGGTTCTGGTGATGACCTTTCTCGTGATGGTGCTTTACGATTAGTTCCGCAACGATGTGCTTCGCCGGAAATAAAATAGGATGACGCGTCTCGAAAGGTAAATACATTGCCATATCGATGCGACCATTTAACCTCAAAAGACCCTTTTCGTCGAGATAGGGTGTGAGACTGTACACTGCACTCTGTCTGGAAAGCTGACGCGACGAAGAGAGGTCTGAAATCTCGCTTGCGAAACACTCTTGCTGCACCGTTTTACAGATCATTATCTCTGCTTCTTCAATTTCCGCAGCGGTAAGTACATTCGACAGACGCATATTGACTGACTTTCTATTAAACAACAATTTGGCTCGTAACACCCATGCGACTATCCGTTTTATCTTCAAGTATGAACGAAATTTAGTAAAATCAATGAAATTTTTACTTGCCTGGCAATAAAGGAGACGGCTGGGTTGAACTTCTTCAAGCATTACTGCGGGACGCTCGACAATAGTGGCTGGCCAATGTAGCTCATTGTACTTAAGGAATTCAGGGCCGTTGATCCAGCGGTCATCTGTATTGAACCTAGGTGGATTTGACGGCCGTGTAGCTGCGTCTGCTGGGTTGCTATTAGTGGGAACCCAACGCCACTGCTCAGGAACAGTTACGCTTATGATTTCAGCAATGCGATGACCTACGAAGGCCTTGTATTTTCTCTCGGAGGAATAAATCCATTGCAATACAGTCTGCGAGTCGCTCCAAAACAGAATGCGGCTGATATTGAAGTCGTGGTAGCTAACAAGCATCTTACTTAATCTGGTGCCCAGTACTGCTGCTTGCAACTCAAGTCTAGGAATAGACATTAAGCGATTAGGGGCGGTGCGAGTTTTAGCCATTACGAAAGTCACGTCCACTACGCCGTTGTGCACTACGCGGAAGTAACCAACTGCTGCAAATGCTACTTGGCTAGCGTCGACAAAGATGTGTAGTTCTATGTTGCTGCTACATGAGATATTGGCCGAGTAGCACCGTGGAATCTGAAAATTTCTGATGCGCTGAAACTCTTTCCACCAGGGTATCCATTTCGCTGTCAGATCTGCAGAAAGAGCTTCGTCCCAGTTGATGCCTTGCCTCCAGGTTTCTTGCACCATAATCTTCGAAGAGATTAATAAATTCGCCAATAGCCCAAATGGGTCGAAAACTGCCATTACGATGCTGAGTAACTCCCGCTTCGTCGGAGCTCGCTCACTAGAAAGCACTGATTGCGGTACGCGATGAAACTTCGTATGAAACTCGAATACGTCTTCTTTGGTGTTCCAGTACATGCCGAGGACCTTTTCGGCGGTTTCACTGCGTTCCATGTTAATTATTTCACGCATTGTTGGTGGTGTTTTGTTCAACGCTCTCTCTACGTTACTGCAATTGGATATGAAATCTCGTAATTCGAAACCTGCCTCCAAATTGATGTTTACAATTTGTTGACAGACTGTAATGGCTTCGTGTGCAACATCAAAACTGGCAACCAGGTCATCGACGTAGTGATTATTTATTATGGTAGATGCAGCTTTCGGGAATTCTGTTTCAAATCTTTCGGCGTTTTTATTCTTCACGCGCTCGGCGATACACGGTGAGCAAACTGCACCGAAAATCATCGTTGTCATCAACAACTCTTGTATAGGTTCGTTGGGGTCCCCGTTCCGCCATAAATAACGTTGTGCGTGTTGATCTATCGGTCGTACCTTTATTTGTGAGAACATCTCTCTGATATCTGCCGCAACTCCGATCTTCCCTTGTCTAAACTGTAACAATATGCGTAGTAACGGTTGTGCTTCCTCCGGGCCTTTCAGCAAAGCTGAATTCAGTAACACTCCATTGACTGAGGCTGCGGCGTCGAAAACTATGCGAAGCTTGCTCGGTTTGTTCGGGTTGAAAACAGCGAAGTGCGGCAGATACCAGATTTGAGGATGTGACGCATTGAGTTCTTCATCGGTTACCTTTCTGGCGTACCCTTTTTCCACATACTTGGCTATCTCACGTTTATACCGGAGTGCAAACTCTTCGTCACGGCTCATCCTGCTTTCAACCGATATCAAACGCTTTACCGCCATCTCTCGGCTGCGTGGAAGCTGAGGTGGAAAGGTTTTCCACAGAAGCCCGACTTCGTAGCGATTACCTAATTGCCGCATTGTTGACTTCAATAT